GCGAACCGCGCGTGCCCGCACGCTATGTGCGGGTCCTGCTGCTCCTGCAGCAAGCACAAGAGCAGCAAGCGTAAGCGCTAGACAGCCCCCGACGCGGAGAGAGTCGACGCTAGGCAGGTATAGGCGGGCGCGTCGGGAGCGGAACGCGCGCGGGCCGCCGGTCAGTTGTAGACCATGTATTTCGGCGTGGAGGAGAACTTCTGGTAGCCCTTGATGACCTTGTTGACGGCGTCGATCATGTCCTTCTCCGTGATGGACTTGCGGCGGCCGCGGATCGCGAACATGCCCGCCTCCGTGCACACGCTCCGGAGCTCCGCGCCCGTCGTGTTGGGGCAGAGGCGCGCCAGGAGCTCGTAGCGGATGTCGGCGTCGACGGCCATGGTCTTGGCGTGGATCTTGAGGATGTGCGTGCGGCCCTCGAGGTCCGGGAGGCCGAACTCGACCTTGCGGTCGAGGCGCCCGGGCCGCAGGAGCGCGGGGTCGAGCGTGTCCGGCCGGTTCGTCGCCATGAGGACCTTGATGTTGCCCCGCGGGTCGAAGCCGTCGAGCTCCGTGACGATCTGGAGCATGGTCCGCTGGACCTCGTTGTCGCTGCCGCCGTCGCCGTCGCCCGACGTCCGGCTCCCGCCGATCGCGTCGACCTCGTCGAAGAAGATGATGCAGGCCTTCTTCGACCGCGCCATGGTGAAGAGCTCGCGGACCATGCGCGCGCCCTCGCCGACGTACTTCTGCACGAGCTCGGAGCCGATGACGCGGATGAAGCACGCGTCCGTCCGGTTCGCGACGGCGCGCGCGGACAGCGTCTTGCCCGTGCCCGGCGGGCCGTAGAGCAGGACGCCCTTGGGCGGGTCGATGCCCAGCGTGAGGAAGCGCTCCGGGTGGAGCAGGGGCAGCTCGACGACCTCGCGGAGCTTCTCCAACGACTCCTTCGCGCCGCCGACCTCGTCGTACGTGACGTCCGGCTTGTCCTCGACGGTCATGAGGGACACGGTGGGGTCGATCTTCGGCGGCAGGGGGATCTGGATGGCGTACTTCGTGCGGTCCACGCCCACGCGCATGCCCTCCTCGACGTCCGTCGGCGCGACCTTCTCGCCGAGGCCGACGACGAACTTGGCGATCTGCTTCACGTTGATGACGTACTTGCAGTCCTCGTTGCCCTCGTCGATGATCTTCGTGCACCGCGCGACCTGGAGGGGCTGCTCCTCCTGCATGGTCTGCTTGTCGCTCACGAGGTCCCACTGCGACGGGATGCAGAGGCCCGTGTCGCTGTCCTTGATGCCGATGAGGTCCTTGACCTTCTTCTCGTGCTTCTTGATGTCGTCCTCGCACTTCTTCAGCGCCAGCGTGTAGGGCCCGTTGCCGTAGGTCTTCAAAAGCTCGATGTCGCCCTCGTCGAGCTCGGGCGGCGCCTCCTCCTTTTCGTTGGGGTCGTACTCGAGCTTGTTCGACGTCTGGCACTCGCCCTTCGCCATGGTCTCGTGGGGGCGCGGGCGACAAGGCTCTTGGCGGACGACGCGGCGCGGCGGGCCCGGCAGCGGCGCGCGACTCGAGCAGCTCAGCACCCGCGAGGACGAGCGCTCGAAAGCCCTTGCGGTCGACCCCCGGCCAGACTTTGGTTTTACCTCAGTTTTACGCGCCGCGCGCACGCGCGAACGCCGTGGCAGGAGGGGGGGAGACGGGGAGGGGAAGGGTTTCCTTGGGAGAGGGCGACCGGGTCCTTTCTTTCGGCCCGGCGTTTGCTTAAGCGACCACTGCCGGACGCACACGCAACTCCTTGACGCGCGTCCTCAAAGCCGGCGACACTGGACGTGCTAGGACGCGGACACCTGCTCCTGCTGCACCGCGACCGCCGCATTAGCGAGCTCCGAGGGAGGCACGAGAGAGGGCAGATCCAGTCGCGCAGTCGTCGCATCCGCATCAGTCGTCGTCCGGGGCTTCTTGCTGA